CCGCTTGCAAAGCGGAATCCACTGAGCGCAACTGCAACGACAATCGAATAACAACGCGCGCATAAACAAAGACAGAGCAGTTTATTCAGCGGTCTCAAACGCCTCTCAGGGGATCACACGCGTTTGAAACGCGTCTGGGAAGCGGAAAAAAGGCGTTTAGCTACTCGAACTACGTCGTAATCATTAAAACATGCAAAAACGACATGTTAATATTACCAGAGCAAGCGCACGAGCTGCTGGAGCAGAAAAACAAAACAAAAAGTAAGGATAAGAATGACCGTGCAAACACTTACCGAACTTTGCAGAAAAAATGGTGTCGCCATTCCCGACGTAAATAAAAAGAAACGGGAAAGAGAAGCGAACAACGGCGAATAAAACAAAGAAGCTAGCAAAAAGCTATTTCAACGACGACGATCGTTGCGGCGCTTATAGAAAAAAAGAAAGAAAAATGGAAAGCAGCAAATAAATAGCTGGTGATCGCCACCGGTGTTGAGTTCACGACAAACAAAGCGGAAGCAACAGACGATACTAATGAAAAAAGAAGAAAGCGACCCTTTTTTTTCAGCTGCTTGTTGCACATTTCTTTATTTGCTTTCGCGGCGTAGGTACGAACTAAAAACAAAACAGGGGAAATAAATAACGTAGTGCAGCTCACACTGCCCGGTGAAAAAGAGTCGCAGAAATGTTTTGGTCGCAGGCAGCAATCTTCTATATGTGCTAGCAGTGAGTAACCTTTTTTTGCTCTCGAATTTCTTTTTCCACTGACTTTGGCGGGTTGTTCGTTCGCTCGCTTGACGAAGCAGTTTAAAAGTGCATTCAAGTACTTGTTGACGTAGGTGTCCGTAGGTTGACGTAGGAAGCAGAAGAAAGATTCTCCACCACATCGCACAAATTTGTTCTTGCAATGGTAGGCAGCACATAGCATGCCTGCCATCTCTAAGTATGCTCAGGTGTATGCTCGAATGCGGCCGGTTGATCAACAAACGATGACCCGTAGCAGACGTGCCGGCCGGAGTACACAAATAAAATTCGAATAAAAATGTATAACGAGCTTACAGTTCTTAATATATTTAATAAATATCAAAAAGCACGTATGACGATTTTGGATCAGGAACTCAATCGAAGGCGAAAATAGGAGGTTATCGCAGACGACAGTGCAAGAAAACAACAACAGCAAAGTTGCAGACGGCCCTCAAAATGCCCGGGCCTAGCGCAGACGAACCGGGGGTAGTAAGCGCCGAAGCGAAGGAAAGGGAGTAAAAACTAAGCCAAACAAAGCAAGGATACACGATGGTTTAAACGTCGGGCAAAAAAAAAAAAAAAAAGCAAAAATAAAACAAAAAATATACACAGCAACACATAAGCAGGAAGAAGAAATAACACGGCCAGAGTGGCGTCGCCTCAAAAATATAAAAGAAAGAAGACTCAAAAATGAAAAGAGTGGAGACGGTTCAACGGGTGTCGGCCTTTATCGTAGAAGTAAACAAGCAGCGAAGCAGAAGATGTTGGTCGTCCCCGCGCTAACAATCGGAATTTGTGCACTGTAAAAAACGTGACTGAAATCACCATTTTTCGCGGGGCTACGACGCTCTCCCCTTCTTTCTTTGCAAGCGCGAGAAGTCAGCTTTTTTTGTAACTCCGCTTTTGTTAATCTATAACCGCGTCAGATTTGCATTTGCACAACGACTTCTTTCGGAGCATACTGACATCGCCGTAACGTACGTGGTTCGAAATTGCCTTCTGCTTCTTCATCTGGAGACGATGTTAACGGGATTAGCCTGCTCACGTGTTCGACGAAACGGTTATAAGTAGGGTGTGTACTTTCCGGTGTTTATTTGTGAGAAAAATCGGCGGATGTTTTTCGGTGTTTATTTATTTTCAAAACACCGGTGTATTTCGGTGAAACGTCTCGCGACGAGGCTAAAATCGGTGAATATCGGTGAAAAAAAAAGCGATTGATCACAGACAGAGAGTTCCAACTTAATTCACATAGTTCATACACTTCTCTAGGAAGCAACTATTTCTCACACTTGGTTATTATAGTAGATGCAAGCATACTTTCATGCTTGCATCTACACGCAAGGAACGTGCTGCCGTCATGGCAGCACGTTCCTTGCGGTTCGCAACCCGCAATTATGAAAACGCACGCTCCTGTGCGACATGGACGTTGGCAGTCTTCCAGGAACCACAGCAACCTCTGAATGTATGGCTTGCACCGACATCACTTGGCCAGACACAATAAGGAAAAGGCACGTGAGAGCCTACCCTCCACTGTGTTAATTTTTTCACAAAAGGGGGCCATGGGAGACACAATAAGGGAAAGGCGTATGAGAGCTTAGCTTCCACTGCGTTCACCAGACGCTTTTGACCCCCAGAAAGAAGGGCGGACTGACGCCACCTACAAGCCATGTATGAACACTGGAAGAATGCAGGATCCACGAGATAACACGTTTGACGAACCTCTACGGGGAAAGAGTTGCGCTAGGTCGGAAACTAGCAACGGCCGGTGTTTTTCGGTTTTAACCAGGGCAAAAATATCCAACCACCGGTGTTTTTCGGTTTTAGCCGATTTTATATTTTTGTCACCGACGGATGTTTATCGGTGTTTTTCGGTTAAAACCGGAAAATACACACCCTAGTTATAAGCAAGACATTCATGAGAAATGGGCATTGCAACGACAAAACGAATTGACTGATGAGAACAATAAAGTTGAAACGAAGCTATGTTCTGAAATGTTTGTACATTTCCCTTTTTCACGAAACGGCGCGAATGCATACATTCGTGTTTTGCTTGGCTTACATAAGTTGTGACAGAATGTTTTCTTCGGGAGAACTCCGAAATTGCACCCAGAAAGCTGTAACATCTTTTCTACGCGAAGAGAATGTCCTTTACTTATGAGCTGGCAGCAGGCACCCATTTTTTAACTTTCAAAGCAGCAAATGTCCGTGACAATTTTTTTTCGTTGGTCACCTCGCACGGAGATAGGCAAAACCAATGCATTTTGGAGAATTAGTCTGCTAGCGGAGACTCCGATCTCGCCAGGGGCGCTGCAACCACTTTTCGCCCGTTTTCCGCGGGAGTTGCCAGTATTGGCTTCCACGGTATTTGCTTTAACTTCGAGGTCTTCGGGCGAGGAAATCTGATACGGGCCTCGGGGCTATACACAAACCAACGCTATTAGATTAATAACGTTGGCTAATCTAATAACGTTGACACCAACTCAACTCCGTTACGGCATGCCGCGGTGGTGGCGCTTCGGGCGCTCTTCCGGTCTGGCGTGTCGGTGGAAGTCGCCATGCGGGCCGGGCATTGCAGTGTTGTTTTGGAAGAAACCAGACTAGAACCTGCCTTCTCGTCAAAACGCCGCGACTGGGGCTGCACCAAAAGTGATGTGAAAGATGACAAGATCAGTTTTCACGTGTTTTCTGCCTGCCCGGGTCGTTCGTGATCGTGGATAGGTGCCGCGAAAAGAGAAAACCAGACGCCGATGGACCGCGATTGCTTGTAAGGGAAGCAGTTGAATTTATGGAGTCTTGTGACCGTTCAAACGGACATATGCTCGTTCAAAGTGTCGTCTGCACATTCAAACGACAACCGCCCATAGACCACACGGTGTAGCGATAATTGCGATAAGAATTACATTTAAAGGTTTGAGGTAAGTAGGCTTGGTGTAAACATTGAATAGAAGGGTATGTTGATCATTGTTAATGGTGGCCATCACCGACTTGGATCATATGATCCAATTTCACCTCCGATTTCCAGTATCGACGTCAAATATCGCACTGCAAACAGCGTTTTTTGTTTTTGTTTGAGCAACGTTGCGATTGAAAATTCGCTCTTTCCCGCGAGTTGAAACGTGGTGCGCCGTGCAAATAGCTGCCAACGACTTTCGGTTTTGAACTAGACGGGTTTTGCAGTGTTTGCGAAGTATACACGCTATCTTCTGAAAATGTCCACTTATAGACCTGTTAGACTTAATTCACTCTTATGATAAAAGGTTAATATAGTTTGGAAATAGTAAGCGCCACCAAATTTGTTCCTCAAAAAAAAAAAAAAAAAAAGGACGAACAGCGAGCGGTTGCTGGTTGTTGCTGGTGGAAAGCAGCGTCGCCCTCTCCTGCATTCGTTTCAGGCATGGTTTTTGTCTTGAGTTATCCGATATTGAACAGCTCTGTAAATTGAGCATGGTGTCAGTAGTTGCAAAATTTAGTCCTGATTAAAGGCAAGTAATGCCTTTAATCAGGACTAAATGAATGAATCTAATGACGTGGGATCTAATTGAAGGAATAACTTGGCACGCGATATAAGACGCAGGTGGTGGTTGTGATGTTGTTTCAATAAATAATACAAGAGAAGAGGTGGGATGCAGGGCGATAGGTTAGGCTGCCAGAAGAGGGGACAGCGGTATCATCCTGCTGGGGTGAAAGAGGGGTGAAAGAGGGATAGAGGGACACACCAAAGTTGGGAACAACGGGATCACTTTGTCGTATACTGGGCGGGGTTAGAGGCGCACCCAATAAGGTGGAGTCTTGCTTTCGTGTTGGCACCTGTTCTTTTCTTTTAAACTTTTTTCTTCGGAATGAGATGTGGAGGAGATCCTGCTGCTTTTTCAGAGTCTGGGTGTAGCATTCTAATGCTTATTTGAATAAAGGACTTGGCAATAGCTGGCAAGAGCATCGGCGGAAGGAATCCATTGAATATAAAATGTGTTTCCATTTCTGCCTTCGGTTTGTACAAGTTATACAGTTATTCGAGCAAGAGGGGAAGCGTCTTCCCGGTTCATGAGTTGTCGTCATGCTCCTTTTCAATCCGTAAAGACCACAACCGATCGAGGAGCTGGAGGTTTCGAGTCGCAGCCGCAACACAGTCAAATGCACTCAAACGCAACCGTGCGTAGGGGGATGCAACCAAAGAGTCGTAACAAAGATGAGTTTTTGTGGTCTTGTTTATTAGCCTATACATACACATAAAATCTGGATTGTCAAGAATATTTATATTACTACAAAGATGTCGGCGCAGATGCTTCGCTGAGCCGGACCTTGGCGATTTCGACGAGGGTCTCAGTGGACTTCTCGCACGTCGGGTAGCGCGTGTAGCAGGAGTCGCGGTCGGAGGACTTCTGCCCCACAACGGCGGCTTCGCGGTACGGGATCCAGGGAGCCATTGCGTCTTCGGCAGACAAAGATCTGGGAACAAAGTGAAAGAGCAAAGGTTTTACGCTGCGGCCTACAAAGATGACTAGACTCAATCCTCCTCCGAGAGATACCAAGGAAACTCGGAAAAGAGAGAAAAAAAAGGACAAGCTTGCTCAATATGAAATGTGCAAAACGTTACTGCAAATGCCGAAAAAAAGGAAGCCTTTGTATTTTCGTGACTCCCAGATTAATCGCTTATTTTGAATGTGTCCTTATCTTTCTTTAAAACACTTTTTGTTTTTGGGGGCAGGAGGCCAACGCGACAACGAACAGGCTGAAAGGTCACGATTGCTTACGACGAGCTGACTGCCGACTCGAAAATCTGCGAAATTAGCGACAATGATTTTAAGCAGAAAAAAAAGGACAAGCTTGCTCAATATGAAATGTGCAAAAAGTTACTGCAAATGCCGAAAAAAAGGAAGCCTTTGTATTTTTGTGACTCCCAGAGTAATCGCTTATTTTGAATGTGTCCTTATCTTTCTTTAAAACACTTTTTTTTTTTTGGGCAGGAGGCCAACGCGACAACGAACAGGCTGAAAGGTCACGATTGCTTACGACGAGCTGACTGCCGACTCGAAAATCGGAGTTTCTCATCATAAGATATGGTTGCAGGAAAGCTCAGGCAATATTGTTTTGCTTCTGTTGCGGGACATTTCTAGGGGATGGAATAGTTTTCTGCGAAATTAGCGACAATGATTTTAAGCGCTAAGGTGACTGAAGTGTCGAATCCCTGAAGCATAGCTTGATTAGCCTAAAACCAGCCTAACAAGCTATCGAAAGCCTAGATGAACCAAGAAGTTGTGAAAGGGCTTGATGAGTACTTACACCATGAAGCCGGCGACTTCCTTTCCTCGCTCGCCGATCAGGTCCGGTTGCGCGGCCAGCTCACAGACGACCCTCTGGACGCAACGGTCTGTGTCGTACGTGCTCACATACTGGAAGATGTCCTTGAGGGCCATCGGGCTGACCATGGTCGTAGCGTCGGTGGTCGTGGCGTCATCGCCGCTGGCATCGGTAGTTTCCTCGACTGTCTCTTCCGTGCTGTCCACGTCCCTCCTGCGCCTGCGCAGCTCCACGGAGGACCTGGAGTATCCGTAGCCGAATCGGGGATGGGTGTAGCTCCAGGCGTGGTCCCAGCCGGACGGCAGGTAGGGCACGGGCTTCCATGGGTCAACGGACTTCCAGGGGTCGATGGGAGCCTCGAATACCGGCGCTGGGGCCAGGGGAGCCTTGACGACCTTCACGGCGGGCACGACAACGGGTGCCACAACGGGCGCCACAACGGGGGCCACCGCGGGCACTGTCCCAAAAGAAAACAGATCAAGAAATTAGTCTACTCAGAATCAGACTTTGTAGGAGTCCACTTGACAGTCTACCAATGCTTATGGTTTACGCTCTTGTTAATCACCCCAATCTACTGATAATGACGAAGAGAATATGGGGCATATTGGGAAACGGAGATTGAGGCTGCGCGTGTTTGGAAGCACATGCTGCTCGAGAGCATGACGGTGAAATTATGCTTGCGAATGGCCCGTGTTATAACTATCTAGACTATTAATATTTATCTATTAAGCATTACGGAGCTGAGTGAAATAGATCTCTCGCTATTAAAAACGATAAATTTCACGCGAGATATGATCAAAGGTCTGAGTGATACCGTGACCGCGGGCGCGCGCTTAGAAGCATGCTTCGAAGGCTCCGGTAGTGCGGTACGCGGAACACGGTAGCGGTTTGCTAAAAGTTCCTATTTTGAATGTGAATGAGTGGTTCGCACCAGGCATTCAGACATAACGCTCGGCATTATCAACGTTTAGAATTCATCGAATAACGCAAACTCTGCTCATCCCCCTGTGTACTGTTCAAACTAAGTGCCACAGGCAGTTTCATAACACCACGTAAGCAAGCGGCGCTTATGTTCAGTCAACACGAATCGAAATATCAAAAGTTTTGTACTCACCCACAGGTTCATAACGGGCCTTCTTCTCTGCAACCTTGGACACCACTGCCTTGGCGCCCTTAGCCGCCGCTTTCCCACCGGCAGCCGCAGCCGCAGCCACAGCAGTCGTCTTCACCGCAGCCGCTCCAATGCCAGCCAACTTGAGGGCGGCAGCGTTCGCCAAAGCTGCTTTGACACCCACCGCTCCGAGACCGGCCAGCGTGAAACCAAAGAAGCCGCCGGTGCCCAGGCCGACGCCGATGAGACTGGCACCCTTGAGACCGACCAGGAGCGGCAGGGCCCAGGACATCGGGGCCACGAGGGCCACGGGTAGGGCGAGGGGGAAGGGCAGCAAGGAGGTGAGGGGAATGGTGGCCGGCAGCAGGCTGAATAACGTGCTCGTGGCTGCCGTCATCGTGGACAGGCAGAGGAGCGCGAAGACTACTCTGAAGTTCATGGCGATGACCGGTTGGGGTTCTGAGGATCTGTTACTGCAAGACATCGTCGTTGAAGAGAGTTTTTAGAATCCTCGGTATGTACTAGTTTTTAGCTGTTATGGCTTGTCGAAGACACTGACATCCCTAAAATAAAATAGGGGCAAGTTGTCCGAAAGCAAGCGCATGCCTTCTAGTGTAAACTCCTAGATCGCACACGCAGTAAGGTTGTGTGCTTGTGCTGGAGGCCGAAAAGATACTTCTGCCGTTAGTAAGCTGTCAGGAGCGAAATAATATTTCATAGAAACGATTGCGCTCGTGCTAGAGGCAGGAAAGACACTCCTGTGGTCCTGAAGCTGTGAGCGCCCGTTGCAGTCAAGTTGGTAAGGTTTAAGCTGTACAGAATTAGAAATAACAAACAATACAGACGTGCAGAAAAGAAGAGTTTAGCCTATCATAAACTAGAAACTCTGCCGTACACATGCAAGTATAAAAGAAAACTTAATACAACATGCGAACAATAGTCTGACCGATTTGCATCAAGAGCGATTTAGAAACAGGTGATAAATTAAACACACATAATGAAACGATCAACCAGGTAGTCCAGATGGGATCATAAATCGTTCGAGAAAAATTGTCACGAGGCGCAGAACGCAAGAAGTAGAGAAGTCTGGACTTACCACCGAGTGCTCCGGGTGAAGCTGTGTGACTTTCTCGTCGCCAGGAACTCGCTTATATACACTCGCGACTGCAGGTTCTCGACCCGAAGGCTCATGCCAATACGCACAGCTGAATCGAGAGAGGGAAACATGACACAGAGAGGCGTATACCAATCCTTAGCAAAAGGGTAAGTAAGTGACCCCCGGGGCCCTCTGTCGTCATTCCGCACAGTCCCTCTCCCCGAAATTATGGCTCCTTAATCCATGCGCTATCGTTCGGAGCTTGTTCTGTTGTCTTCGGCTTTGCGTTCTAGCTTTCTAAAGAAGATACTATTATTCTAAGTATAATTTGTTCACCCCGAAGCTGACAGTGCCGTGGGGGCTACGCGCTCGCCTGGAACAAGCAACCGCGTCCCTTCCATGAAATGGTTCCCCTTTCTGCGCGGGGGATTAAGCGGAAGTGTGATGACCTCGTGAAAGACAGAGGTATGACCAGTCCAGCGAGCAGGTAGCTTCTACCGAACTGTCAGCTTTGAAGACAAACATAACATAGATGACCTCAAGACGCTAGACCAGACCCCGAGGCGTCGCGCGGGGGGACATGTGTTGGAGGATTTATTGTGGCCAAGGTTGAGGAGTCGCTAAGTACCTCTCCAGGCGTTCGGTCAAGGCTCCCTTCTCGAAGCGCGCAGATTGTTGACCTCAGCTATTGCAAGTGCGGGAGGGGTCGAAATACGTAATTATTTGAACGACCGAGGATGGCATGAAAGTGAACGTTCTTACGACGAGGTCGTTGGTTCGGCTTGAAAGAGTATTTGTGAGAGACGTCCTTCCAGACGCCGTCACTGTAGCGGGTGACAGACCAGTGTAAATGTGTCAGAGGGTTGTTGACAGGGTCGAGTTAATCGGTTGAAGCTCCCTAAAACCAGCTTGGAAGTCCGAGGAAGAGGAAGCATTGTCTGTCTCCGAGAAGAGTGGAGATTAGGCTAGACGTTGGAGACACTGAGCTTTTAGAGCGGCCTTCCTCTGTTCAGATGTTTGCTGCTTTTTCGTTTTCTTTTTCTTTTTCTTTTTTGCTGTTTTGTTGTGGTAGTGTTTTTGTCAAGCTGCACGTTTCGAGTTATTCGCTACTGCCGATTATGTTTTGATAAAATAATTTTACGAACCAGCTGGGTTGCAAGTCAAAACATAAAAGTAATTATAAGTAGGGCTATACGGCGTGCCGTATAGCCTTCAAACTTGTGAATTTTAAGAAACAAAGGCGTTCCTTCTTTGATATTTTTGGGAACATATAATTAAACAGGTAAGAAGCTAAATCGAGTTGTGTCGGGTAATCACTCAGTTAATTTTTGTTAATTAAACATTCGCGGCTAAAAAATAATGTAAATTTAGTTAGACAACGACACAGCCTAATTAAGGCGGAGCAAATGATCAATTAACCTACCGATTAATCAATAAAAGCGTTAATCTGGATTAATTGTTTTAATCGGTCAATCGGTAAAATTTCGACGGACCAAAAGAAAGTAAAAATTAAACGCTTTCATCCCACGGGCGTGGACGAGTACACCTGTATGAATGGCAAACTTTAAAATTTTGTTCTAAAGTAAACTTTGGGCCGAGATTTGTGGCTCCAGAGACGTGCTGAAGGTTACACGTGTCTCGGCCTCTTCAACGTTGTTCGAGTGCCAGTTTAGAGCAGCAGAGACTATTTGAAACAATCAAGAAAGATCGCGCTCTTGCCGGAGAATATCAACGAACCTCTTTGCCTAATGCAGCTCGAGTAATATTGTGTGAGTGTGAGTGTGAGTGTCTTTGAACTGCAACTATACACCGAGGTTGATTCATAATCGCAATTCTATATTGCGCCGTTTATCACCGTATCCAGCACACACACGCACAAAAAGTTATTTTTTTTTTATTTGTTATGCATGGAAATGAACGTGGCCGAATAATTGATTCATTAACCAATTGAAGGGTGGCGATTGATTGGGTTAAAAAGTTTAATCGACGCCCAGCGCTAGTCTAAATCATTGATTATTGTGATAGCGCTTCTCTGAACCCCCACCGTAGGCAAAAGTCTGTTTTCTTTCTTGAGACCGTTATCGTGCAGGTAAATCTAACCGAATTTGACGACTCCAGAGACCATAAAGAAAACATCAGTCATAATTTATTTTTGTTTTCCGTTGAGTACTGAAAAGGTGTTTTCATACATGAAGCCGAGCACTCATTCCGAAAAAACTTGACTGCCCGAAGTATTATGACTGTCAATTATGCGCCCGCCCTTTTGATAAAAAGAACAGAAAAGCCCTTTGTGATTTTTACAGTTGATAATTACCATCTGTTTCACTTTAAGAGTGAGCATTTAGGAAGTATTCACTGGCGGCCATAACTGTGTGCTCGACTGCTGAGCGCGTGCTGACGGCGAGCTTTCGCAGTTCTTTTGAAACGCGTATTCCGCACCGTCAAGAACGTCGGTCTTAGTAGGCTATTAATGTGAGTTCGCTCTGAGCATACGCTCTAAACATCGCCCTCAAATATGGCGTCCAGTGCATACTATACCTCGTCTCACCTTAGTATGGACTATTGTTAGCCGCGAGTGCTAAGAGCGCGAGCTAGTCGCTTTGAATGAAGCCGCGGCGGCTGCACGAGCGCTCGTGCAGCAAGTGCTCTACTCAAGGCAGTGAAGGCTGGCCGCCCGCGCTAGCACAGCCTTAGCGGTTAGTCTATGCTAGGGTGAGACGAAGTATAAGCGAGCTCCGGGCTTTTAGTGTCCCTGCCAAGCACGCGCGCTCGTGCTGCACAAGCATTTTTTCAGGGTCACGTGCTCGCGCTTGCAGCTTCAGCTTCGCTCGCACTTGAAGTGCAACGGAGTTAGCTTTCTATACTCGCAAGCAGCTCTTCTAAATGAAAAAAAAAGTTCAGCTGGAGTTTTTGTTGATTTTCAGTTACATAGCTTCAGAAGGGTGGTACACTAAAACACCCGATGCCAAAAGCCTCGTGTTAAATTGCACACGAAAAACGCCCCCGTCCTCTTCGCCCCGCTTTTAAAAGCCTTAGTTTCAAAACCTCCTGACGAGAATCCCTCGTGTCAGGTGGCCGGGTCCTCGATCTCACGGCGGAGCATTCTGCTTTTAACTAAGATACACTAAGTGTGCACGTAACCTTGTGTAACGTAAGCATGCCGTACCCGGGATTCAAGTAAGGAATGACTGGATAAAACTTCCCGTTTGAATTCAGGCGTGCGCTAAACACATCTTCACTTTTTGCGACGTTAGAAGTGAAAACAGGCAGAGAATATCAGTCACATGGCAAAACATTTGAAGTGACGGCTTTTATCAATAAGCATCGAACCAAAGCTTTCGACGAGCTCTGAAGCGCGCGCGATTCACAGATTCGACGAAATGGGTTCTGTCCAAACTGTTATCCTGCCGTTCACGGCGCCATACTTATCATAGCATCAAACACCAGCTCCATTCTTCTTACGTCTTTCTAGAAAAAAAAAAAATATTTGTATTCATCTAGGTAGATAAAGTCTCATTCTGCTCCATGACAGCGGGGTGCATTGCTGGTGATTCAGATTTATGCAATGGACCACTGGTACGTCATTTTAAGTGCTTCGGCGGTTCAAGTTAACCTTGCGCATAGCTTGAAAGTGCCGCCATTGTTGGGCACTGACGGTTATTTCCACTTACTGGTTCCTTCGAACTACAACTTCTGCGGTGTACAACTAACACGGCGAACCGAACGCTCTCGGCGCATAATATACTGACATGGCCGCGAATGACGTCACAGACAAGCTATGTATTTTGTCGTTCCTTTCACTTAAAAGAGCCTTTGTAGATATTCAACATATAGACCTATTGCTATATTACCCAGGCATCAAGGAGAACGCAGGGATTGGTGTTCCACGCGCCGCACGTGCTGGCGTCAACAGTAGTGACTTTTCTAAAGCAAATACCTAAAAGAAATGTCATCTTGCACGTGCGTTCGTCAACGCTTTATTTTGGTTATTTACTTCGAACCTTTTATACGGGGAAGGCGTGCGCGTGTGGCGCGTGGAACACAAATCCCTGCATTCTCCTTGATGTTTGGGTAATATTGGGGAGGAGATCGAACAGTCACGCCTCTAGCGGTGCGCTTCAGTTGTGGGGTCAACAAAATGTATCTTTTTGTTTGTTTTTGATTCGAGAAACGGAAGATGACGATTCGAAGGCCGCTCCTAGTGCGACTGAAGCACTGGTCAGTTCAAAGCGCTCGTGCCGAGACCGTGCTCGGCGAGGTTCCATTTCTTTGTTATACTGTGTTGGTAAACAACGGACTGTGGGGACAACAAGCTCGATGAAGCGACCCCTATAGTTCGTTTTCCTGCCCAATAGCAAATGGTCTATTAGGTTAAACATGAAACAATTAGGGTTGAAGCGCGAAAAGTGTGGGACGCGGACAGTGAGGACGGGACTCTTCGCACGCGGGGAATACGAGACCGGGTAATTGAACGCGGGGTTTTTGAAAAGTGGGGCTAACGACGCAAGACTTTCGCGACAGGGATTCCGCACGCGGGGCAATCGTGCTACACCCCTCCAGAGGTAGTTAATTGGAAATGTAAGAAACTGGTGCATACAATAATTACATTTCAATTACGCTTTGCTAGTAGAAACTAAGGCAATTACTCCAAATTTTCCTTCGGTACCAAACTTAATAGACAGATCCCACTAAGCGTTGCATGCGTATGCGTGACACCGTCATAGCTGTAGTTCATAGGAGGAAGGCGCCAGTGCACGAGACAGCTCGTGCCGTCCCGTCCTCTGTTCACGAAGACCAGCAGCGGGGTCGTCGCGCGTGCAGGAAGACTACATACAGTTCCCAAGATGTACGGCGACAGCGGTGGCGTAACGAAACCAGCTGGTGAGATTGGTCTATTCGGTTGTGTGTTTGCTTAGACAGCCAAAAGTTAGTCAGCCCCAATGAAGGTATGGTAGAGCAATGCACGGGCTGGATTTTTCCAGTCCCGGCCCGACCCGGCCCGGTAGAGGCATGGCCCGGGCCCGGCCCGAGCCCGACAAAATATTTAGTCCTTAGGTCCGGCTCGACCCGGCC